AACATTTTGATTTATCGTCCATCCAAAATTGTCCCCCCAGTGGCACAGCGGTATATCTGCGGACTTACAACGCTAGAAACCGGGTTTCGATACCCGTGGTGGGCAGAGCACAGATAGCCCATTGTGTAGCTTTGTGCTTAATTACAAACAAACTGTTTCTACCTAGAACGAAATAATGTGTGACAATGAATTATTTATTTAGGTATTGTTACCATAAGTCAAGTTAAAACTATTGAATTTTATTTGCACGAAAAGACGAATGGAAATTACTGCTTTTTGAACAAAATTTTAGAAACGGACGAGAAGATAAGATTACGCCTTTTTCTTTTCATAAATAAGTAAAATTACAGGCTGACAACTACTGACCTCATTCGTTCTTAAGATATAGACCGTTACTCGAGATGGTTCAAATAAAATTCAGAACAGAATATTCCATTTCTTTGTTGATTTTCACACGGATTTGAACCCGGTTGGTTATTAGGACCCCACTTGCCAGGCACATCGCCATAGGGTGACACAAGCGTGATCTAAACACATTTTTGTGATCTGAGTGTATGTTTGAAAGGGCCGTTATATACCCTTCCCAAAGGTGATCAATTTTCTATACCATCATACAACCTATATACGAAACGCTGGACAATGTCAAGCTGTAATTATGATACATGCCGTTCCACCTTGGCTTGCTGATTTTCATATTCAAATTTGTTTTAATGTAAGTTACTCAACTGTGTAGCTTGCGTAATTTAGGAGCTCGTTTATCGAGATGTGAAGGTAAAGGCTATAATTGTTTATTTGTTTAATTTCGTGAAAAGGTATTCGAGGGCTATCTGCGCTGGTCGTCCCTGATTTTAAAGGGAGGCAGCTAATAGTGGGATTAACCGTTATATATAACGTCCTCACAGCTGAAAGGGCAATCATGTTCGGCAATGGGTTTCGATTCCATGACTCGTAGATTGCGACTCGAATTTCCTGATCACTAGGTCATGCCCGGCCTATGGTTATGATAATGAAAGTCATCTTTCCTTCGCTGGTTGATTTATTTATAGTGACTCTATTTTTGTGACTGGTGTATGGTATAATATGATTTGGTTTCCGAAAAAGGGACTTCATTTTCCTGTTAACACATTAAGTTGGGTTTTATTTATTTACTTTTACACTCAATCTCTTGCGGCAATTTGATGAAATGTACGCAAATATTGCATTATATTCAGCATTCGGTTTATTTGATGTTGTTTGAATGCTTATGATATTGTTATTTCTGATTGTATGTGTTTTTATCTTTGTCCAGATCTAGCATGAAACAATATATCGGGCAGACGGTAGCACTACCTATGTAGGGATGGCTCGGATTGTTCATCGAAATGGTATTTTAAATATCACCTTAATAGGTCATTAGGCCCGCCATGGCCAGGTGGTTAGGGCGCTCGACTCGCAATCTGAGGGTCGCTGGTTCGAATCCCCATCACACCAAACATGCTCGCCCTTTCAGCCGTGGGGGCGTTA